ATAAGCAATGTGATATTCCGACTGTGTTTCTTTGGTTAGTTTTTTAAATCGTTGACATCTTGTATTAACTCAATTTTGCTCATCTCATCTTTTCTCAAGAATATCTTGCCATTACTGTTTGCCCAGACAAATTTGTAGTTATTTTCAGATTTGAAGATCCTGGCTGCTTTGTACATTTCTTGATTTCTTTTTGTTAGTTCATGATTGAAGTAGATGGGCTTCACTTCGCCTTGGTAGCCTAGATCCCCGCTACTTATCCTCTTTTTTCTTCCTAACATGATTTTTTCCTTATCAGCTTCATTTTCACAGATAACTTTAATTACAGGATTTTTGTCGTTTTTGCCTAGTCTATAACATTTCACATTACCAGTAGTTGTGATTTCAAAAAAATTCAATTCAATAGTTTGATGAAATTCAATGACTCTGATGTAAATGGATATCAGATACTCAAGGGACACGAATAGGATAACCTAGGGATGTACCGGGCGGGATGTTCACTAGACAACCACTGCAGGATATCCCCTTGTACCGCGGGACAAAAAAGGGACATACCTAGGACATCCCTGTGTTGTTAGGGAAAATAAGGATGCAAATATAGTTTTTCATGGAATCAAATCAATAACAAAATATTGAAAATTGAATTATGTGGTCAATTGTCATTCTTTAGTCAGTATAGCATCACCCACTATTCTGTGGTAGAAGTGACAGAATTATGAAAGCATTCATCAGTACTGTCAAAAGTCGTACCTACTTCAAATGGATTGATGTAGTTCGGTTAAATATTGAATAATACAAGGTGGTCCTTTGAAAACGAAACAGGAGGCTCTCTAGGTCGCCAAAACCAAATTATTTAAATATTGATTTATACAAGGTGGCCCTTTGAAAACGAAACAGAGGCTCTCTAGGTCGCCAAATCCAAATTATAAAAAAAATCTGAAACACCTTAACTACATTTTCGAGGGGGACATCGTTCTAAAATACTTTCAGCTCTGCCGCGTTGCCTCTTCCAACGAAAAGAAGCAAAAACTTTGTTATTTCCAATGGAACACCTTGTATTTCATTGAATTTTTAGATTCTCCCCAAAGAGCTGATTTCATCAATGCCTCACAATTGAAGTCTAGCTGGAATGATTTCAGGAATATAGGGTGTTTCCATCTCAACTTTTGATTTACTATCTACTGTCATTTAATTGGAACAGATACAGGGTGCATGATCAGAATTCTGAATCTTGGAACACCCTGTACTTGTTGCAAATTAATGTCAGTAGATAGTGAAATCGAAAGTTGAGATAGAGTCATATGAGCCCCTATGACCAATGATGAATAGTTCCTACCCAAAAAAAAAATCTTAAGTTGAAAAATATCGATTTTGAACACCCTATAACTATCTAATCATTTCCGCTGAATCCCAAAATGCACTGAAATACATGGTGTTCCATTTGAAATAACAAAGTAATTGCTTCTTTTCGTTAGAAGCGGCAACGCCGCAGGGCTGAAAATATTTCAAAACGATGTCCCCTCCATGGATGTCCCCCTCGAACCTGTAGCTGACGTATTCCAGAGTTTTTTCATGATTCAGTTTTGGCAACCTACAGAGCTTCTGTTTCGTTTTCAAAGGGCCACCCTGTATAAGGCCAGAAAGAAGCATTAGAGGTTTCTCACATGGCTAAATTATCCGCTAGCCACTAGATATGCAACATTTACCCTCCAGATCACCTCTTGAAACGGGAAAGGCCAGTTCTACCTGTTAATAAGTCGTTTTGGCAACACTGCAGTCTCGAGGCACGAGTCCATATGATATACACAAGTCTGCGTGATATTGAGAGATGGAGATGAACTGTGTGAACCGTGTGAAGTGTCTCCCCTATGCCTATGACCACAGCTTCAGAATATAGATTTATCGGTTGCTATTGCTCTATAAGTTTGTTGGAGTTTTATCACCAGCAAAGAATGTAGGCGCCTTCTGGCCCTTCTGTCGACTCCTTTATAATAAAGGGACGGGCCCATGGAGGAGGGGAGGGGGTCCACCCCAACAATCTTAGGCGAGTTGGCAAATTGAGTTTGGGAAAGTTTCACAAAAAAACGTTCCGTGGTGAATATAAATGAGCAATAAAATAAATGAATAAAAACTGCGGATTTCCTACTTCAACCTATGAATTTCCCTAATAACACAATTATGTCCCATGGATATCCTTTGGACGTCCTGTCGGGATATTCAGTATTCAGGACGTCCATAGGACGTCCGAATTTGATACCGTGGTCGTCCATTGGACTTCTGTGGGACGCACAAATGTCCAACTTGAGGTCCAACTAGGGACGTTTTCGGAGGATGTCCCTAGGACAACTATCGAATACATAAATCCGTAGGACAACCTATCAGCAACGCTGAGGGATATCAATTGAATGTCCATGTCCCAGGGACTTACGAATTGTTCTTGAATTTGAATTTATGTTGGTCCCTCTAGGACCAGATCTTGCATAACTGATGAGGACATCCAGTTCAGTTGATGGTCCGTATAAAGTCCCCAATAGATCCTGAAAAAGTTTCCCAAGGATTTCCAATGGACTTACGTGAAGGACGGGGAGTATTTATAGCCTACAAGCAATCATTCGTCGGCGAGGTGTAAGTTAACGTCCACGCAGGGACAACATACTGAAAGTACCGACTGGGACGTCTGTAGGACGGTATTCCTAGGACATTGGAAGAGTACAGTTCATGTACCAATTTGGACATCTAACGGATGTCTCTAAGGGACATACGATCCTGGAAATATTGAGGGCGTCTGTGCAGAGATATTTGAAGGAATGTACCATCAGGGACATTTCATGGTTGTCTACAGAGGATATTATTTAAGTTCTGAAGTCATGCCAGAATATGTACTACTCGGGACATCCGATGGATGTCCCTAAAGGAACGCTTAAAATCATATCCCATCAGGGACATGCCAAGGACGTACTTGCATGGACATTCTACAATATGTACCGCGTGGGACGTCTAAGGGATGCTATTTCTAGGACATTTGAGATGATGTACCTGCTGGGACATTCCGTGGACGTCCTTGCTCGCACATTGCATGAAATGTACGGGATGGGACGTCCCAAGGACACTTATTTTTGGTCCTGGACATTGTGACTTGAATTGTACCAAATAGGGACATCTCTAGGACGTTCTGTGCTAATAGGGTTTCGATAACATGAATATTAATTGATTATAAAATATTCATCATAATATATTCATCAAACAGGACGAGAAAACAAATTCTGAATTGGGAAAACCCAATCACGTATCTATGCTTAGAGGTCTGGAAAAATAACAAATTTCCATATGTTAGAACCCTTCAAATGGGTATGAAAGTATCGACAAGGAAAATTTTCAGATATATTATCAATATCATTATTCTCTTCGTATGATTCTAAACCAATCGGAACGTTCAATTGAGTTGAGCTACCTTATATAATATCGAATATTCGTGGATATACATAGTGTAACACCACCAATCAGAAATTCAGAAGTATTTCCATAGTAATCAATTCATATTGATTATATTATACATACAAACAAATTGCGTTCAGAACTACTCAAATGATAATCGCATCAAATACAATTCAAACTTCAAAATATCAAGGTTAGACATCTCATACTTCCTGCACAATCACAAATTGTGTCAAAATAAAACACTGTTGGAGAACAATAATCCCTCATCGGTATTTTCAACAGAAAACAGCTTTCTCCTGGCTATATGCCACGACGAACATTGAATTACATCTATTCAACACACGCAGTAAGAATTTCGAAATGAAATCTTCTGAAATTGAGAGTTCGCATTAACTCTCAGATGAAAATATATATTGTAGATTATATCATTTGTGATATTCATTAGAAAACAACAACTTTTTTGGCTATTTGCCACGTCGGACATTGGATAACTTTTTTTTCAAATATCTCTGCACGAACGCCCTTGATATATCCGGGATCGTATAACATTCAAAATGTCCTTGACTATAATTATCACTGCGAAAGGAACTCCTGCATAGGACGTCCGCAAGCGGATGATCATTTATTCTCTCAATGTCCTAGAAATAACGTCCTACGAACGTCCCAGTCGGTGCGTTCAATATGTTGTCCTTGCGCGGACGTTAACTTACACCTCGCCGACGAATGACTGCTCGTAGGCTATAAATACTCTCCGTCAATGTCCTTTACGTGACTCCATTTGACATCATAGGGAATTTTTTCTGATGGGACCTCTTGGAAACCTTCTTCAGGATCTATTGGGGACTTCTTCTACGAACCGTCAACTCAACTTGATGTCTCCATCTGTTATGCAAGATCTGTTCCGAGGGAAGCCAAAGAATATCATATCCAAGAATAATTCTTTCCTGGAATGACCATGAACATCCAATTGATATTCCTCAACATTGTTGATAGCTTGTCCTATGGATGTCCTTCGAATATTCCTCGAATGTTCATCGTATTGCTTGATGGGAAATAATGTAGGATTCGAATATTCGATACTTGTTTCAGGGACATCCCTCATGGATGTCCCTAGTTGGTCCTCGAGTAAGACATTTGTGCGTTCCACAGACGTCCAATGGACGTTCGCGGTACAAAATTCGACGTCCTGAATGTCCTGTCAGAACGTCCAAATAAGGATATCCATCGGATATAATTGTTCTAGTAGGGTGAGTTCCCTATTGAATTAACCTTTTTATTTATATTTATCATCCAAACAACAAGAATTTTTTCGGCGCTTCAATAACTGGTCTACTAAAAATCGGATGGAGTGAATAATTCCACCAAATTCATTCACTCTCAGGTACTTATATATTCTTATTTTTCATGTCGAGCAAAATCGAAGATACTGTTTTGGTGCATTAGGTCTCATCGATCGCTCTCGGTCTATAATGACTCGTCAAGATTCTGTAATAAGTATTCGGTATACCTAGACCTCATAGATGACATTAAAAACATAATTCAATAATAAGAGTTTTTTTTTTCAGATAATACATCGTGATCTGGCGGCCCGCAATATTCTCATTACCGAGGAGCACACCTGCAAAGTAGCGGATTTTGGCTTCGCCAGGGATGTGATAGCTTCGCATGTGTACGAGAGGAAGAGTGAAGGGAGGTTACCTATCAGGTAAAATTATTATCATTTCAAATAGTCGTGATATGTGAATTGATTACCTTCAAAATTGTTGGCGAGCAAACCTCATACTATCCCTTTCTGTCTCGGATAACTTCTTCTTGCTATAGTTATATACCGGCAGTTTTTCCCCTATAAACAGTTGTTTACAAAAAAGCTATGGGGGATGATTGTTTACCAAATGTTGACAGTGAAATTGTCATAGGTTCTCAAGATCACAAAGCATTGACTGAGCCAGTTTTTTAAAAGTCGAACAACGATTACGTCTACCTCTCTCTTCAATAATTATTGTACACAGTTTCATTGAATTTCACTGAATCTCTGTTATTATCATTTGTTGGTCAAGTGAAACTTACATTTCGAATATCTCCTTATACTTCAGTAATTTTAACCAAGAAACAATGAACCAGTGGGATTTTTGTCGATAGGAGAAAAGTCCTTGCTCGGGCGCAATTTTAAACACTCTCCTCCTGTGACGTGTGTCACTATGGCCCTTCTTAGTCTATTGGCTAGTCAAGATTTTGGTATAATTTGGAGGTACCAATTTTCCTTCATACGGCAGATATATAGGTATATAAGGATCTCTAGAAACTATGATTGCCACCTCGAAGTGGTAGCTAATAGAAATGGAGCCCAATACAAAATGGCGGATGTTGACTTCATAGAAGCTCTCATTGTACTCTATTTTTGAATTTCTCTATTGATTCTTGATATTCACAGCCGTTAATTAATAAAACACAAATAAATGGTTTTTTTAAACTTCAAAATAATTAATTGATTCATTGAGAGATACTCAAAAACGATGAAATACCTGGAAAAAATATGTTCAAATCAATATATTAGTCTAGGCAATTATTTACATTGTCATAGGCTACTGTATAGTAGGGATGATGACACGACATTTTTCTTGATAGACTCAATTATTTCATCAACATTATCTCCTAGGTACTCAACTGATTTTGAAAGCAGAAAACGAAGAGATTCAACCCTTGGGCTAAAGAACATAATATTATTTCGTATTTAATTATATGATTTCTTGTATGCCACTTTTATCATTTCTCAGCTCTACAACTTGAGTAAGTGTTTTTCTGGTCCTGCTGCATTTTCTATATTTGCTCTCTTTTTCACAAAACACACAATTTTTGTTATATGTCGCATATTTTCCGCTACTATCCCGTTTCAAATGTTTCTCAACCTGACTAGATGAACAGGGAGTTTCGGATGGCTCAGACAAGTCCTGGGACGATGTGGCTTCTGCCTTCAATTTCCTCAGAGCTTTAATACTCCTGAAATTGGCCCGACACTTTCTATGTAATGATTCATCCGGAATATCAGTAATATCTTTGATTGGTTCAAAACTTATTACAGTAGCATCATACAAAACTGTCCAAGAGCGCCTATCTTTCGATTAATGCACTTCATTGGGTGAGGCTGACCTTCCGCAAATAATTCACTCATATGATTCAAATTCTGAGTTTATACACTTCACTTTCTCAACACCAGATATTTTTGATCTACCAATTAATCCACTGTGTTCCTCCGAACATCCACACTAAGCAATAAAAAGTGATTACAACTATTAGTAGTATTTATTATCAATCAATTCGAATAATACCTAGTGGTGGTAATCACTAATGAAACCAGTAATGAATGATGTTTCAACAGTTTCTACTCTGAGTGGTAATCATGAACATAATAAGAGATATCGATGTATGTTCTAATATTGATGAACACATACATTGTGAACCCCAGTCACCAAAATAAGGAGACATTGGTTTTTGAAGCCATTGCAATGCCACAAAACAGAAGTATGAATATATCAAATTGTAGAAAAAAGTTGAGACAAGAATATTTGTTTCAAGAGTTTTTTTTTTCGAGCGCACCAGTTTTTGATTAATTGAAAAAAAAATTGTTAAGAAAATAAAAAAAACATGTTTTCTCAATGAACGCCATCTTGAATTGACCGCCATTTCTACTAGCTACCACTGTAAGATGGCAATCATGGTTTTTTGTGATCCCCATATCACCATGTACCTGTGTTAGCAAGAAAAATTAGTACCCCCAAATTATACCGATTACTCGAATTTGCCTAGGTAGCCAATGGACTATCTTGGTCTCATGCTCGTGCTTTTCAATATGGTTTGTTTCACAAGTTCCTGTAAACTGTAGGCAGTAATCAGTGGAGAGAGGTGTATTCCTTGAAGAGTGAGAAGCAGGCCTATACAGTTCCTCCTGACGTTATCGTTACCTGACCTTGCAAACATTCTATACCTTGACACATCGATAAAGCCGTATGTATCCACTCTGATTGCGTACTCTTCTCCTGTGTCCACATTGGACCTCCTGAACTATGAAGGCTGTTTAATCTGAACCGCATATTATAGTCCAATACGTGGGGGTTTTTTGAATGCAAAGGGTGGGGTAGTAGCGATTTTTCAGTATGTTGTTAGGTTTAGGGCCTTAAGAAAAACCCAAGTTTTCGATCTCGAGGCGCATCTTGGATTTTTGGTGAAAAAATTGCTTATTTGCTAATAACTCAAACACGGTGGCTTTTCCGACAAAACATGTTCCATACAAAGTTGGAGAAGACACAATTTCCTACATTGTTTTTGTAGGGCACATATATGTTAGGAGTTGCATTTTCGTGAATTTCCACTATTAGAAAAAACAATATGACAATACGCGGCGATCAGTTTTTAATGACAATACTTTTTCTGACATGCACATTTTCAGAAGATAGTGTAACTCACTCGATTTTGAATGTGTCTTCACACCTCTTTCCTTCACAACGTTACTTTCACTCGAAGTTTTCTCACAAATAAAGCACAAATCAACTTGGAGATTTTCCATTATAACAGCGTAACCTTCAAGCTAGACAATAAGCACATTGACGCATACTGTGCATACAGATTCGATGTACTGAAGGTCAATCGAATCGCTCAGGAGAGAAAGGGAATGATTACAGGATCAAGAATTTTGGGAAAACAAGAAAAAACTGTGTATAACTGAGAGAAACTGGATATTAAAAATATCTACCAGTTCTGATTTTAATAACCATTATGAAGAAATCTACTATTCTTGATTATTTTATTATAGCAACAGTATTCTCTCCATTCTGTAGTTATTAAAATCGCTTTCTTGCATCATTTGTAATACCCTTGAATGGACATTTGCTACCATCATAACGCAGTTGTGCTATGACATTATGAGAATTTTATAAATTCTAGTCTATTTAGATTTTTCATCGACATAGCTCGTTTTGCGAATTATGCTTATTGGTGAATTCAGATAAGGTTTGCCCCAATAATCATAGCTGTTTGGGTTTCTAGCATTGTACGTTGACGAATAACTATAGCAATTCAAATGTAAGACGGGTATTAGACAATCATTCGACAATCGTAATTAATCTCATTTCGCTCTAGTTTTTCATTAGTTTCGGGGCTGACAAAGATACAATTCGCGTTCATTTTCACTCCTGTTCTCGGTCATGGGTGCCCGTGTTTAATTATTTTTCAATGGTTTCGATCGTCCGAATCGATAGAGTCGTGTCTTGTGGGTGAAGGTGTGTGATGTAGCAAAATTTCGTTTTAGTGCTGGCTGTGAACCGAGCTGTGAAATACACCATGCATTGCTTTACTGCAATGAAAGAAGTTTTCTCCATAGTCCATACCCACTTTTCACGGCCTGAAATTGGTTTATTCCGAAAAACAAAATAATCGATGAGATTCTGAATTGAAATATCTGGGTTTCTGTGAAGGAAGTTTCATTGACAATTGTCATCATAACTCCGTAGGGAGAGTAAATATAAGTATTCAACTTCTCATTCCTTAATAAATTTGTCAGTATGTATACACTAAGAAAAAACTTGAGTTATCATAATTGAAAATCTGATAACCCTTATTACGATATCTGCAATAAATAGGGGACAGATGTGTTCTTTTGCTACCATAGATGAAGTGAATTTCCAGATGACTTGTAGTTATGACAGCTTATTCAATTTGCAAACTTGTATAAAAACACCGCTGCTGAATAAATACTACTTGTTCTAGTTTCTATGATAACACAGAATGTCGAATAGGAATTATTCCCATAAAATGTTGCAGTAACTCTCCACTCTACAGTGGTTATCAGACTATCGACATAAAACAGCATGTTTTTATTACTGGCACAACGTCTCATTTTATTATAGTTATCTGATATCTGCATGAAACCTGACATTTTGACATGCTATTGTAATATAGCTCATTTTCAACAGTTATCCCAATATTTTTCTACTCAAGTATATTCATCAAACAGTGATATTAAGGTTTTCTAATCAACATTATTCGATGGTATGCATTATGAAACCGTGCTTTGAATTACTGCAATGAAAATAAATATCCTATCCACACTATCACTTTTCAGGATCCAAAGTTATTGTTTTCAAGAAAACAAAAAAAAAAACGTTTAGTCTCTGAATTGAAATATTTGGGTATCTGTGTAGGTTTTTTGACATTACTCATTGATTTTATCGGAGAAATATCATCTATATGCATTACTGACGAATTCATTAAGAAATGAGAAGTTGAATACTTATATTTACCCTTCCTTCGGAGTTATGATGAGAATTATCAATAAAACTTCCCTCACAGAAACCCAGATATTTTGATTCAGAATATCATCGATCATTTTGTTTTTGAAATAAACCAATTTTAGGCCGTGAAAAGTGGGTATGGAGAATACTTTTTTCATCGCAATATAATGCAATGCACGGTGTATTCCACAGATCGGTTCACAGCCAGCACTAAAACAAAACTTTGCTACATCACAGACATTCACCTACAAGACACGGCTCTATCGATTCGGACGATGGAAACCATTGAACAATAATTGAACGCGATCTGTATCTTTGTCAGCCCCAATACTAATGAAACACTAGAGCAAAATGAGCCGAATTACGATTGTCGAATGATTGCCTAATAACCGTCATACATGTGAATTGCTAGAGTTATTCG